TAAATTAATTTTATTCTTTTATTACAACATTGACTAGTCAATATGAATTGATGATAAGGAGATTTCAGTAAATGAATGTTGATTCAGTTCTTTATTTTCATTATACCATGGACAAGTCCAACTGAGAAATGAAGTTCCCATGATTGATTGCCAATTTTTCAATGCCCCAATGTCATAACTTGGAAAATGGGGTGCTTTATGATGTGAAAGACATTCATACCGAACAAGTTCAATGTCTTCCATTGATGACATATTTTTCGAGAGTAAATATGAATAATGGTATGTTAGAGATGCAACAGCACAACTCATTGCAAACATAATCATTGCACTAATTAATGAAAAAATAATAAAAAATACATTTCCTGGTGATGGTTCACCAAGTCCTGTTTGCATTTGTTTGACAAGATACCATATTTGAATAATCATTCCAGTAATTCCATTGATAGGGAGATAGTAAAGAAATTGAATAAAATACCGATGATTGTTTTGACCTACACATTGTCCAATCCATGGACAATGATGATCTCTCCTTAATACACAACACCCACATTTCTTACAATGATAAGAACGTTCCGATCTAAATGATTTGCAATACGTACAATATCTTGCAGGATATCCAATATCAACTATTTTAAATCCATGTTCTTTTCCAAATGTCTCTCTTTCAATTGCTTGTTGTTTTTCTTCTTTAGAACATTTTGGTTGAAAATTAATACATTTCCCTGGTTTTGTTGTAACTGCTTTGTAATATGAAATTGCCATAAGAATAAAGAGTGTTAATGGAATTGGCATTATCCATATGATTGGTAAATGAATAAATGCATAAAATGAAGAAATAAACATTACACTTATTATTCCAGATGCAATATATACGGTAATCATATCATTACCCTTAAATTCATCTGAAGAGGTATTATGATTTTTTCTGTATAAATAAGGTCCTTTTAAGAGGTTTTCTCTCATTTTGTTTCTGTCTTGTTGGATACTACGTTCTTTTGCTTTTATTTCATCTACAGGAATGAAGATACTCGACTGAGACATGGTATAGTTAAATAGATTTTTTTATTATTTTTTATTCATTTTTTAGTCAAATTTTCTTAGAAAAGTAACAAGTTAAAGAATGAACATTTCCATTGTTATTATTTTGAAGGTACATGACAAAGCACTACCACCTCCTTCAGTTTTTATTTAAAAACGAGATATAAAGTAGTTCTTCTGAAAATGTCATCAACAATAATGTTTGTTTATCATAAGATCTTAAAATCAAATCATCTCACTTTTCATTCTCAAAGATGTCAGTATGGACGGATAATATGTTTATGATCTTTGCTGGTATACTCATTAGAAATTCACCTCAACAATCTCCTTTCTTTCTTCAAATAGAAGAGGATTTTTCACAAATGGGATTTTTCGAAAGAATGAATGCTGAAGGACCATTAAAATTTTCTGCTCGTCAAATTGCCCAACGAGCTATTACAAATAAACGAATGTGTATTACTCTTCAAGAACCATCTACATTCAAAGGACATGTTTATATGGAAAATGATGGAGTTTGTTATGACTTTTATCTATAATAGATGGTCAATTAATTGAACATCAAAAGATTATATAAAAGAGAAGAAAAATTAACGATTAATAGCTTGCTGTTGTTGCAATAACTACAAAATCATATCCTGATCGTGTTGCTACAGTAGTATTGAGTAAAATGATGCAAGCATTTAGACAATCATACAAAGGACCTTCCTTCAATACTATTAAATCAGACTTACAATTTAAATATCAACCTGTATCTGTACTATTTCAACAATACGTCGATCCAAAGAAAGGAGATAAACTAACACAAATCCAAACTGATTTAACAGAAACACAGGAAATTTTAGTTAAGGCAATGGATGAATTATTAGAACGTGGTGAAAAATTAGATGATCTTATAGATCAAAGTAATGATCTTTCAACAACTTCAAAAGCATTTATGCGACAAGCTGAATCAATGAACAGTTGTTGTTAACACAAAAGAATAGTTATAATTTAAAATTTTAATTATAACACACAATTAATCAGAATTATGGCTTTTTTAGAGTCTTGTTTATTTTTCACTTTAATATATTTCTTCCATTGTATTAGACGTTTCTTTTTTCTCTTCACTTTCATCATCACTTGACATTAGCCATGGAGGAATATCTTCTTTTACTGGTTCAATAACATTAACAACGTTTGTATCCAAATTCATTTTCTTCATTTCAAACTCAAAAACTTTCCACAAGTAATAATGAAATTCAAGTGTTTCTTCTTGATTTAAAAATTTGAAATGTGGATCTGAAGAACATTTTTTAATAACTAATTCTTCAAATTCTTGTCCATACTTATCTAAATAAGGAATTAATTCATCAATAATTTTCTTTGTTTTTTCATCAATCATTTTCTCTTCTTCAATTGATAATGGTTTAATTGGTTCATTCTCTTTAGTAATAAAATGACTTGGCATATCAGGGAACCAAGTTTTGCTTTGGAAATTAAGATCCTTTTCATATCTTATTTTTACTTTGTCTTCATCAAATAATACATGTATCATTTCGTTAATTGCTCTTTTTGCGTCTTCAATGTTTTTAAATTCAATTAATGCACACCTATTATTAATTCCAATTCTAATTCTATCAACTGGTCCATATTGAGTTAATTTAGAAAATATTTTCATTTCATTATTATTTAATCCTCCAACCCATAATACTCTATTAACTTCATATTCTTTTGTACGATGTCCTTTTTTACTATTTTCTTTTGGTTGGTTAACTTGACTTACTTCATTTTCTTCATCTTTTAATATTTGGTTAAGGTGTTGATAAATTATTTCATTTTCTTTTGCATTCGTTTCGCTTTGATAATCAGTCTGGTTTTGATTGCTTGGTACAAATGTAGTGCTTGTTTCTGCTTTCCCATATCCTATTTTCAGTGTAGTACCTCCATACGTTGTCCCATTTAACTCTTCTTTTGCCTCTTTAGCACTTTCTTCCTTACTAAAATGAATAAACATAAAATTCTTACCTTTTGGTTGATTAATACTTTCAATACTTCCATATGCCTCAAACAATCCTCTTAATTCCTCTGCCATTCCAGGAAGTAAATTCCCAACATATAATGTCTTTTTGTCTTCATGAGGGTTATTTACTTGTTGAGTAGATTTATCTGGAACAGGTGGTGGCGGAGGTGGTGGTTGAGAGAATTGGAATGGTTGAAGATATCCCATTTGATAATAGGATAAGTAATTTGGGTCAGAAAAAGGAAAAAATGGGTAGTTTGGATATTCCATCTTCAAATAGAACTCAAAAAGATCATTTCTTATAACCATGAAATTAGTAAGATTTTTGATGAGGCTAACAAACGAAGTAGTCACGATTGAATTAAAGAGTGGGGCAATACTCACTGGAACAATTGTTGGTGTTGATAACTACATGAATGTCCATTTAAAAGTTGTAAAAATGACACAAAAAGGAAAAAACCCAATTAACTTAGACCAATCAACAGTAAGAGGAAACACAATCAGAAATATAATACTTCCAGAGTCATTAAATCTTGACACTTATCTTGTAGATGATACACCGAGACTAAAAGTTAAAGCAGCAGTAAAAAGTTTGTTCTTTTCTTCTTTTATATCTCATTGTCATATATAACACTTTTAGGTGCATTGAAGAAAAAAACAGAATTAAAACCAAAAAAATGATTGAATTTTTGTTATTTCTATTTTTGTTCTTAAAGACATTCTAATGATAAAATAACTTAATTATGACTTATTT